AAAAAAAAAAAGAATGTAGAGAGAGCAGGTGAAGTCTGAGTGATGGAAAATGAAGCAAAAGCTAAGGGCTAAAAATATGTCAGAAAGAACATGCTGGCACCTTCACAGAGACAATTGCTCACAGAACCTCAACTCCATGTTGTGAGTGACAGTACACTGGGAGTTCAAAATCACCCCTGTTGGGAGGATTTACACCATGGAAATTGGCAAAAGTTACAGAATAAGGCTTTTTCTCCCTTGAAGAACTGGTCATTAAACATTCACTAGCATGCCATATGGATACTGTTTGTTATCTTTCTGTTACCTCTGATATCAGGGGTGTGGAAGTATAAGGGAGAATAGAAAAGTCAGATTTTTGGCTGTGAGTAGGCTTTTAGTAAACTTGGAGAAGACAGTTTGAAGGGAGTGGTAGAAGGCAGAGTAAAGGTATGAGCAGATGCCAAGGAACTGGAAGTCACAGCTCAAAAAAGACATATTTGAAATTTGAAAGCTAAACGATAGACAATGTTAGAAGGAGGAGCAGTGGAAAGTAGAAGTATTTGTAAAAGCCACGAAAACTAAATTTCTACAGCTAAAAGGGAAGTTTGGTTTGAATCCTAACTTAGAGAATTTAGGCTTACTAAAGATTAAAGTACTAGCATACATAAAACACTCAAGAAAAAATGCCAACCCAGAGGAATATTAAAATCATTATGGAGTTTGGATATGTAATTAAGGAGGCAAGTATCAAAAACTTGAGATGAAAAGCATATGCCATATGTATGTACTTGATACTCTGATGAAAAGCATTACATTTTGAGAATTATGTTTTCCCTTATTGTGCTAATCCCTGTGAGATATGATAAATTTATTTATTTATACATGCAGAACTGGGGTACAGGCTAGAGAGAGGATTCACCAGAGACAGAGTGGGGAGCAGAACAGGCAGATCAATGAAGTAAACTACTGAAGGGAGCACTGGGCGGATCAGGAGAGGTCTGACACGCCATGTAGGTCACCTCCCTGGCCAAGAATCCAGCTTGTGGTGCAATGGCTGTAGATAGCTTCATAGTGTCACCAGGGAGGGCCTAATATAACTTTTTCTATATTGAGAATTTGTTCTTTATGGTTTAAATATAATACTTGACTTTTTCTTAAA